GAGTAACTGGTACCTACTGACTATTGATGATAATGAGTAACTGGTACATAATGACTATGTATGAGAATGAGTAACTGGTAACTACTGACTATGTATGATAATGAGTAACTGGTACCTACTGACTATGGATGATAATGAGTAACTGGTACATAATGACTATGTATGAGAATGAGTAACTGGTAACTACTGACTATGGATGAGAATGAGTAACTGGTACATAATGACTATGGATGAGAATGAGTAACTGGTAACTACTGACTATGGATGAGAATGAGTAACTGGTACCTACTGACTATGGATGAGAATGAGTAACTGGTACCTACTGACTATGGATGATAATGAGTAACTGGTACCTAATGACTATGGATGAGAATGAGTAACTGGTACCTACTGACTATGGATGAGAATGAGTAACTGGTATCTAATGACTATGGATGATAATGAGTAACTGGTACCTACTGACTATGGATGATAATGAGTAACTGGTACATAATGACTATGTATGAGAATGAGTAACTGGTACCTACTGACTATGGATGATAATGAGTAACTGGTACCTAATTACTATGGATGAGAATGAGTAACTGGTACCTACTGACTATGGATGAGAATGAGTAACTGGTACCTAATGACTATGGATGATAATGAGTAACTGGTACCTACTGACTATGGATGATAATGAGTAACTGGTACATAATGACTATGTATGAGAATGAGAAACTGGTACCTACTGACTATGGATGATAATGAGTAACTGGTACATAATGACTATGGATGAGAATGAGTAACTGGTACCTAATGACTATGGATGAGAATGAGTAACTGGTACCTAATGACTATGGATGATAATGAGTAACTGGTACATAATGACTATGGATGAGAATGAGTAACTGGTACCTAATGACTATGGATGAGAATGAGTAACTGGTAACTACTGACTATGGATGAGAATGAGTAACTGGTACCTAATGACTATGGATGATAATGAGTAACTGGTACCTAATGACTATGGATGAGAATGAGTAACTGGTACCTAATGACTATGGATGAGAATGAGTAACTGGTACCTAATGACTATGGATGATAATGAGTAACTGGTACCTACTGACTATGGATGATAATGAGTAACTGGTATATAATGACTATGTATGAGAATGAGTAACTGGTACCTACTGACTATGGATGATAATGAGTAACTGGTACATAATGACTATGGATGAGAATGAGTAACTGGTACCTAATGACTATGGATGATAATGAGTAACTGGTACCTAATGACTATGGATGAGAATGAGTAACTGGTACCTAATGACTATGGATGATAATGAGTAACTGGTACCTAATGACTATGGATGATAATGAGTAACTGGTACCTAATGACTATGGATGATAATGAGTAACTGGTAACTAATGACTATGGATGATAATGAGTAACTGGTACCTAATGACTATGGATGATAATGAGTAACTGGTACATAATGACTATGGATGATAATGAGTAACTGGTACCTAATGACTATGGATGAGAATGAGTAACTGGTACCTACTGACTATGGATGATAATGAGTAACTGGTACATAATGACTATGGATGAGAATGAGTAACTGGTACCTAATGACTATGGATGAGAATGAGTAACTGTTACCTACTGACTATGGATGAGAATGAGTAACTGGTACCTACTGACTATGGATGAGAAAGAGTAACTGGTACCTAATGACTATGGATGATAATGAGTAACTGGTACCTAATGACTATGGATGATAATGAGTAACTGGTACCTAATGACTATGGATGATAATGACTAACTGGTACCTAATGACTATGGATGATAATGAGTAACTGGTACCTACTGACTATGGATGATAATGAGTAACTGGTACCTAATGACTATGGATGATAATGAGTAACTGGTACCTAATGACTATGGATGATAATGAGTAACTGGTACCTAATGACTATGGATGATAATGAGTAACTGGTACCTACTGACTATGGATGATAATGAGTAACTGGTACCTAATGACTATGGATGAGAATGAGTAACTGGTACCTACTGACTATTGATGATAATGAGTAACTGGTACATAATGACTATGTATGAGAATGAGTAACTGGTAACTACTGACTATGTATGATAATGAGTAACTGGTACCTACTGACTATGGATGATAATGAGTAACTGGTACATAATGACTATGTATGAGAATGAGTAACTGGTAACTACTGACTATGGATGAGAATGAGTAACTGGTACATAATGACTATGGATGAGAATGAGTAACTGGTAACTACTGACTATGGATGAGAATGAGTAACTGGTACCTACTGACTATGGATGAGAATGAGTAACTGGTACCTACTGACTATGGATGATAATGAGTAACTGGTACCTAATGACTATGGATGAGAATGAGTAACTGGTACCTACTGACTATGGATGAGAATGAGTAACTGGTATCTAATGACTATGGATGATAATGAGTAACTGGTACCTACTGACTATGGATGATAATGAGTAACTGGTACATAATGACTATGTATGAGAATGAGTAACTGGTACCTACTGACTATGGATGATAATGAGTAACTGGTACCTAATGACTATGGATGATAATGAGTAACTGGTACCTACTGACTATGGATGATAATGAGTAACTGGTACATAATGACTATGTATGAGAATGAGAAACTGGTACCTACTGACTATGGATGATAATGAGTAACTGGTACATAATGACTATGGATGAGAATGAGTAACTGGTACCTAATGACTATGGATGAGAATGAGTAACTGGTACCTAATGACTATGGATGATAATGAGTAACTGGTACATAATGACTATGGATGAGAATGAGTAACTGGTACCTAATGACTATGGATGAGAATGAGTAACTGGTAACTACTGACTATGGATGAGAATGAGTAACTGGTACCTAATGACTATGGATGATAATGAGTAACTGGTACCTACTGACTATGGATGAGAATGAGTAACTGGTACCTAATGACTATGGATGAGAATGAGTAACTGGTACCTAATGACTATGGATGATAATGAGTAACTGGTACCTACTGACTATGGATGATAATGAGTAACTGGTACATAATGACTATGTATGAGAATGAGTAACTGGTACCTACTGACTATGGATGATAATGAGTAACTGGTATATAATGACTATGGATGAGAATGAGTAACTGGTACCTAATGACTATGGATGATAATGAGTAACTGGTACCTAATGACTATGGATGAGAATGAGTAACTGGTACCTAATGACTATGGATGATAATGAGTAACTGGTACCTAATGACTATGGATGATAATGAGTAACTGGTACCTAATGACTATGGATGATAATGAGTAACTGGTAACTAATGACTATGGATGATAATGAGTAACTGGTACCTAATGACTATGGATGATAATGAGTAACTGGTACATAATGACTATGGATGATAATGAGTAACTGGTACCTAATGACTATGGATGAGAATGAGTAACTGGTACCTACTGACTATGGATGATAATGAGTAACTGGTACATAATGACTATGGATGAGAATGAGTAACTGGTACCTAATGACTATGGATGAGAATGAGTAACTGTTACCTACTGACTATGGATGAGAATGAGTAACTGGTACCTACTGACTATGGATGAGAATGAGTAACTGGTACCTAATGACTATGGATGATAATGAGTAACTGGTACCTACTGACTATGGATGATAATGAGTAACTGGTACATAATGACTATGGATGAGAATGACTAACTGGTACCTACTGACTATGGATGATAATGAGTAACTCGTACCTAATGACTATGGATGATAATGAGTAACTGGTACCTAATGACTATGGATGATAATGAGTAACTGGTACCTAATGACTATGGATGATAATGAGTAACTGGTACCTAATGACTATGGATGATAATGAGTAACTGGTACCTAATGACTATGGATGATAATGAGTAACTGGTACCTACTTACTATGGATGAGAATGAGTAACTGGTACCTAATGACTATGGATGATAATGAGTAACTCGTACCTACTGACTATGGATGATAATGAGTAACTGGTACCTAATGACTATGGATGATAATGACTAACTGGTACCTAATGACTATGGATGATAATGAGTAACTGGTACCTAATGACTATGGATGATAATGAGTAACTCGTACCTAATGACTATGGATGATAATGAGTAACTGGTACCTAATGACTATGGATGAGAATGAGTAACTGGTATCTAATGACTATGGATGATAATGACTAACTGGTACCTAATGACTATGGATGATAATGACTAACTGGTACCTAATGACTATGGATGATAATGAGTAACTGGTACCTAATGACTATGGATGATAATGAGTAACTCGTACCTAATGACTATGGATGATAATGAGTAACTGGTACCTAATGACTATGGATGAGAATGAGTAACTGGTATCTAATGACTATGGATGATAATGAGTAACTGGTACCTAATGACTATGGATGATAATGAGTAACTGGTACCTACTTACTATGGATGATAATGAGTAACTCGTACCTACTGACTATGGATGATAATGAGTAACTGGTACCTAATGACTATGGATGATAATGAGTAACTGGTACCTAATGACTATGGATGATAATGAGTAACTGGTACCTACTGACTATGGATGAGAATGAGTAACTGGTACCTAATGACTATGGATGATAATGAGTAACTCGTACCTAATGACTATGGATGATAATGAGTAACTGGTACCTACTGACTATGGATGATAATCATCAATAACTGATGACTGGTAATGATGTTGGGTGACTGGGATGTAATTGGTCCCTGATGAGTGTTTCAGTCTCAGCACATCTGAACATGAAACACTGTGACTCAGACAGCTGTTTGATGGTGTTGACTCATGAAACATCGACCCTCAGTTTGGTCATGTGACTCTTAGTCAACAGGTGATGATGTCCAGATGTGTCTGCCTGCAGGTATTACAACAGTGCTGACTATGTCCACCATCATCACTGGAGTCAACGCCTCAATGCCCCGCGTGTCCTACATCAAGGCTGTGGATATTTATCTGTGGGTCAGCTTCGTCTTCGTCTTCCTCTCTGTGCTCGAGTACGCTGCTGTCAACTACCTGTCCACCGTCCAAGACCGTCGCGAGCGTAAGATGAGGGAACGAGCCCACTCCCAGGTGAGGTACAGCACCTGTCAGGTGACTTAAACCTGCCCAGGTGAGTTTTTGCTTCTCATTTGAATTATAACTGCTGCCAATTGAGTCATAGTTGATCAGGTGACTTATGGCAGCTCAGATGAATTATTGCAGTGGTCAGGTGAGTAAAAGCTAATTAAGGAAGCTGTTTGTGTGTGTGTGTGTGTGTGTGTGTGTGTGTGTGTGTGTGTGTGTGTGTGTGTGTGTGTGTGTGTGTGTGTGTGTGTGTGTGTGTGTGTGTGTGTGTGTGTGTGTCCTCTGGAGGTTTCTTCCTACACGGGGATTGCTGTAAAGATTCTGACACAAGTCAGTGACTCGGTGCAGCATGTTGGGTTTTCTTACATGGGAAACTTTTACTGATTGGCTTAATGAATTGAACTCAATTGGAATGTACTTAGTGAGGTGCCTTGAGACAGCTCTGGTTGTGATTTGATGCTACATAAATCAACTGAATTGTTTAACTGTCCTTCCAGTCACTGCCCTGCACCTGCAGCATCTCCCAGACCAAAACCATGACCTTATTGGATGGGACGTACAGTGAGGCTGACACCAACAGTCTAGCAGGATACACTGAGGAACCCATTGTTCCGGAGGATGATCCTGAAGAGAACCATAAGGTCCTGGAGAGGTCAGACCATATGGTAGTCCACCTATCCATGAGCAGCGAGTCAGCTGGTACTAAGAAGAGGAAAAGTCTCCGGGCACTCAACATCATCCAGAACACTCATGCCATAGACAAATACTCGCGTATGATCTTTCCTGGATCTTACATCTTCTTCAACCTGATCTATTGGTCTGTTTACTGCTGAGATCCAGAACCTGGAGGTCCAGGGGACAGAGGGTCAAACAGAGGGATGTTTTGGTTCAGAAGTTGTCAGGATCCACTTGGTTCTGATTGGTTCTGATTCATCCACATCTATGAGGAACATTATAAATGACAGGAACTAGCAGCTGAATTAGGATGAAACTACAGATGGACCCAATGTGGAACAGATCAGCTGGTCCAGTCAGCTTCCATCATGCTGCTGCTGCTGGGATGAAACCTGTGTTTAATAAAGACTTCACATGTTAGAATGGATGTTCCTGATATAAGAGACACACAACAGTACATAGTTTGGATTCATTCTGACACAGCTGGCCTATGCCCAATGAACATGGGTCTGGCTATGCACACACTCTCTCTCTGTAGTAGTAATCAGGCTGGGATAATAACATAATAAATGATATCTGCTGTATGAATAGAACTCTACTAATGTATAAATGTCTGTGTGGAAATAAACTCCCATTTCTACCAGCTGTACCAGTGGCCTTCTGCCTGCTGCTGTGGGAAGAGATGATGTCCGTTCATTCTAATGAAGGTAAATCACCACATTACACGATGTTCTTCTCCATCACAAGAACACATGACCACTTCTGCTAAGTCAGCATTTGCTGGTTGTTCTGACTTGAGCCATTTTCTCACACCATGAGTACCCCCTTAGTCAAATGTGTCAATGATTCTCCTAAAGTAGAACGTACAACTGATTATTAAATGAAAATGATTTTATTAAAAGTCCCTAATGCTGAAGCATGTCTCACTTCCTGTCTGGCTCAGGTGAATACTTTCATTTAAAGACAAGCCGAATGCAGCGTAGAGAACATTAGACTCCATGCGGAAACGTTCCAGAGCTCTGCATCCGCGCCGCATCGCAGCTGGTGTGAATGTTCTGATTGGACTCAATGATTTTTGTTCTATGCAAAACTGGACCACATCCATTCTGCATTGGAGTGAACGAGGCTTCACGCCCTCTCTCAGTAGCAGAGCATCGAGCAGCTGCACAGCCCTGATCTGGTCTTTTCTTCATGTTCTTGTTGTTTGTGTCATTTTTGCTCTTTTCATTGATAAAAGTTTATTAAAGGGACTTCGCGGAGTTTTGAATTTTTATGCTCGTGATTGCCCCCTCAGGCCAAAAGCGTAATGGCAGCTTCAATAGTAGGCCCGTACACGAGGCGCGCATGCTGTACGTGCACACTCCTTAACGAAAATAACAGCTGAGACAGTCGTGTGTGTGAGGGGGGGGGGGACACGCATCTAATTAATTAAATAATTTGATTCTGTACCTTTCTCTTCAGCACAGCCGACAAAGGTTTAAGATGGGTCAGTCCTCCTGCATGCTCAGATCATTCCCTTCCCTTGCTTGAAAAATTGTTCCAAAATGAAAGTTGAACCCACATCTTTTTTATCTGTGAATTCAATGCTGTTCGGCGAGTCTCAAATAAAAACGTGGGCATCTTACTGTAAAAAAAATATATCATTAATGTAAAAAAGAAACTCTCAACAAATCATGTTCACATTCAGAATCAAACCTGAGTCTTCCACTCGGGAGTCCGCCATCTTACTGGGTGAGCTATAGCACCAGTGATGTCTTTTGTATCTGTAACATTTATATCCTTGATGACAGCTGAAACAACGTTCAAAGAACGGTTCGGAGTGAAAATGGCTATTTTGTTGCTAATTAGCAGGAAATGTCTAGAAGAAAGTTCTACAGAAAGTAGCTAAGGGTCCTCAGAAATGTAGCTAGCTTTGTCACTAGGCGTTAGGAACAGCGACAAAGTGGCACTGCCTCTCTCTCTGCTGCTAAAGCTACGGATAGCAAATGCTACGGGCGATGCCTGAGCGTGAACGCGCATGAAGCAGCCTGCTCGACCCGAGCGTCTCTCTTTTTCTGTGATTTTACAGAAAAACAGGCAATCACAGTAAAAACGCCAGGGCTCATTCTACAGGACCAGGGCATTGCAGGAGAATGTATGAAGAAGACATTTATTATTTCTATACATGGTTTGGCTGTCACACTTCCATAACGCCCCTTTAAGCGCTTCCCATGTGTTGAATGATAAAATAAATATTAAATGTTTCTAATGTGCTCACATACCACTGAGGGGACGAGTATCCCTGGTTGGGAATCACTGTGCTAAATGGAGTAGAGTAGAGTAGAGTAGAGTAGAGTAGTAAAATAGAATAGAATAGAGTAGAAGAATAGAATAGAATGGAATAGTAGAGTAGAATAATAAAATATAATAGAGTAGAGTAGAGAAGGGTAGAGTAGAGTAGAGTGGAATTATAGAGTAGAGTAGAGTAGAGTAGAGTAGAGTGGAATTATAGAGTAGAGTAGAGTAGAGTAGAGTAGAGTAGAGTAGAGTAGGGTAGAGTAGAGTAGAGTGGAATTATAGAATAGAGTAGGGTAGAGTAGAGTAGAGTAGGGTCGAGTAGAGTAGAGTAGAGTGGAATTATAGAATAGAGTAGAGTAGGGTAGAGTAGGGTAGAGTAGAGTAGGGTAGAGTAGAGTGGAATTATAGAGCGGAGTAGAGTAGAGTAGAGTAGGGTAGAGTAGGGTAGAGTAGGGTAGAGTAGGGTAGAGTAGAGTAGAGTAGGGTCGAATAGAGTAGAGTAGAGTGGAATTATAGAGCAGAGTAGAGTAGAGTAGAGTAGGGTAGAGTAGGGTAGAGTAGGGTAGAGTAGAGTAGAGTAGAGTGGAATTATAGAGTAGAGTAGAGTAGAGTAGAGTAGAGTAGGGTAGAGTAGGGTAGAGTGGAATTATAGAGCAGAGTAGAGTAGAGTAGAGTGGAATTATAGAGTAGAGTAGAGTAGAGTAGAGTAGAGTAGAGTAGAGTAGGGTAGAGTAGAGTAGAGTGGAATTATAGAGCAGAGTAGAGTAGAGTAGAGTAGAGTAGAGTAGAGTAGAGTAGAGTAGAGTAGGGTAGAGTAGGGTAGAGTAGGGTAGAGTAGAGTAGAGTAGAGTAGGGTCGAGTAGAGTAGAGTAGAGTGGAATTATAGAGCAGAGTAGAGTAGGGTAGAGTAGGGTAGAGTAGAGTAGGGTAGAGTAGAGTAGAGTGGAATTGTAGAGTAGAGTAGAGTAGGGTAGAGTATATAGATTCCACAGAGGAAATTTTCACTCATTAAGGCAGTGCATACACTTAGAGAACAGCAAAAGTAATGTGGCATTAGACTATTCCTGTAACCTTCAGCAATCAAGAAAATGAATAAAAATAGACAATTGTGTTATGGTTAGGGTGAAACAGAAACAGCTTACTAGACACAGACGTACAAATGTGCATCTGGGTATTACACAGGTACTGAAATGACCTGAAACATGAATGTACACTATTAAACGTTACATATCTCTAGTAACCAAAGTAAAAACTACTCCATTGGATTCTACCATGTGTGCTCATTTTAAGAGCAGCTGGAAAAATGGTGTAAAAACTCTGATTTCTTTACTGGAAAGGTCAACCAAGGATGAAGAAAGTAATGGTTAATGGACCTAAGTCTTTGCTTGCTTCCTTCACAGAACAGATTTAAAATAGACAAAAACATGTTTTACATGTGAAAAGCAAAGGAAATAAGATATTCAGTAGTGCAGTGATGAGGGCATAAATTTAATGTTACTGTAAGATTTCAGCAGTAATAAATGTATTATTTAGTCTGGCCACGTTCCATTGATGGCTCTCGGTTGTGGTTAGGGTTCTACCGTTGTCTTTCTAATGATCTCCGCATGCTACTGAACAATGAATGTGACATAGGGTGTGTCCGAATCCAGGGGTAGGATGCTTGTGAGTGCGCATTTTGAGGTTGATGACGTCAAAGCGCAGCGACGAGTACTGTCCGAATTCCAAGAATCCTCATTCTCGCGTGCTCAAACGCGTCCTCGCTCCACCCACATTTCGAGGATGGGTCTGATGGATCCTCACAGGAGCAAGGGTATCCCAGCATGCTTTGCGTGCCGGCCGCTGGACTCGACACTCGCTACAACGGCGGACGGAGCGGGACAGCAGTACAGCTTAAAATGTAAGTTAGTTTAAAAAAATAGCGGTCAAAAAATAAAATACGTGTTTGGGCACTTTTGGTTTGTTTTTTATATACGATCTAATACCGCAAATTGTTTTTTTTTCATGTAATTTAAGGCTAAAACATGCCCCACCGAAAACCAGCTTGAATGTTTAATAGGAAAAACCACCGTAAACTAGCTTGATCCCAGCAGGCTTTTCAAAAGAAAATAGCGGTAGAAAACTAAGCTGAACGCGGTTCTGTTTATAGACATTTGTCGTTTGTATAGGTACATTTTCAGCAGAAATCAGCGAGAACGAGCTTGTATGGTGGTCCCGTCATAATTCCCGTGTGTGTGTGTGTGTGTGTGTGTGTGTGTGTGTGTGTGTATGTGTGTGTGTGTGTGTGTGTGTGTGTGTGTGTGTGTGTATGTGTGTGTGTGTGTGTGTGTGTGTGTGTGTGTGTGTGTGTATGTGTGTGTGTGTGTGTGTGTGTGTGTGTGTGTGTGTGTGTGTGTGTGTGTGTGTGTGTTTATTTAGCGAATAAAGCTTCTCATCATTTGTTTTAAGGTTAACACCCCACCGTAAACTTGCTTGAAAGTCTAATAGGAAAAAACTCACCGTAAAAGAGCTTGCATCTTATGTAATCATGTAACGAACGCCAAAAATAACGAAAACTAAGTTTAATGTTTATTTAAGTTAATTTTTAAGAAACCACATTACTGATTTAATGTTTTTAATTTCATTTTAGGTGGAAAAAAACACAGAACACAATTTTCATCTCCCATGTTGATAAATTAAAATATTGTTTATTCCACGTTTTATCAACTATGATTTATAATCTGACTTTGTTCTTCTATTCCTCTCTATACTCATCCAGAACCAGTACCTTTAAGGAGCATCTGTAATTTCATTATGCCCACAGTGTTCTCTGTTGTTAAATGACAATAAAGCCTTGTAATCCTAATTCCCTTTGTCTGTAGGACTGCAAGTATCCAGGGTCAGG